AAGAGCAGAGCTGAAACCTGGATCCAGTCAGTCCCGCTCCCCAGTCGCTGTACGTAAATATCCTCTGTTTATATACACAAGCAGGGGGTCTGGAAGGAAGGAAACCAACCTGCTGACAGTGGTTACCTCTGGGGAGGGAAATGGGGACGAATGGGGTAGAGGGGATGTTCACATTTGCCCCATATACTTCTGCATTATTTGAATATATATATATTTTTTCTTAGAGATAGGGTCTCACTGTATCACCCAGGCTGGTCTTGAATTCCTGGGCTCAAGCGATCCTCCTCCCTCAGCCTCCCGAGTAGCTGGGACTACAGGCTGGGACTACAGGCATGTGCCACCACACCTAGCATTATTTGAATTGCATGAGAATGCATACTTAAAAATGACAAAAAAATATTAATGAATGCTTAATTTTAACAATAATGTACTTAACTAGTAACAGCATCTACTCTTACATTTTCAAACAGAGGAGAGATATTTACAGACAGAGGAGAGAATTTTTAAAATAACAGTGAGTTTTTCCTTATTATAAAGTAATACAGGCTTAAATTAAGCAAGCCTGCTAAGGCACTATTATCAGAAATTTGCAGAAAGTTCTATTCCTCCATCGCATAACTGCCTAATTAAGAACATGGGTGCTAGACTCCAGTTGCCTGGGTTTTAGCGCTGGCTCTGCCACTTACCAGCTGGGTGACCTTGGTGAGTTACCTAACTAGTCTGTACCTCAGGTTCTTCATCCATAAAATGGGAACAATAACAGTATCTAACCCCCAGGGCTGCTGTGAAGATTAAGCAAATGAATATACATACACGAAGCTCTTCCAATAGACCCTGGCACATAGTAAATGCTCAATAAATGCTAGCTATTATTATTATTATTACACAAATACAATAAACAATGATAGATACCAAGACGAAATCCTCTAGGTATTAAAAAATTAAAAAGATAGTGGTAACAATACATCAAAATAGCAGCTTTGTGAAGTATTTTTTTAAAACATGCTTTCCCCCTTGGTGAATTAATAATTAAAACATATACTGACCTGGAGAATTTCTCTTTTGTAATAATCCAAGACTTTTTGTTTGAGTCCACTGTTACACACAGACTGGAGGCACACTAGTCTTAACACCTTGATCAATGGATGTTTTTGGGCGATACAATCCTCGATGTAATTGTTGACCTAGAAATAAGGTTGTGTATGCACACGCCAAGCGTCTGGTCTGGGGACTCAAAGAACTTGCTGTTTACTATCATATTTTTCAAAGTCAAATGAACATGATGTGTAGGAGAATGGTTCATTATTTTCACATTCCCTAACCCTGCCCTGAAATAGCAGCCCCAGCCCTGACCCCACACAAACACACCAGTCATCGGGCTGCATCCCTGGAGCCCAAGGCCGGTGAGGATAAAACCAGTCAACTCGAATGCCTGTCTTGACACGTCTGTCTCCACGGACAACTTTCTGAGAGGCAGCCAAATGTTTGGGGCTCCTGGGGCTTGTGTAACCTAGCCTCTTTAAGTAATATCAGCACTTTATCTAGCAAAAAGTAACAAGAATTTTTTATAAGTTAGGAACTTTCTTAAAGTGAATAAAATTTACTAATAGAGCTGGATATTTAAAAGAATTATATAAGAAATTCTCTCAAAAAAGCAACTATCTGTTACGATCCTTAAAGATCTTTGATGTTAGCTGACGAGTCTCATCTCACCATGGATGGCAGAAAGTGTCTTGCATAGAGTAATGTTGCATATCTGTTACTTGATAAAATCTGTATTTTCACGTTTTGCATTTGCTCTCAAAAATATTTAGGCAAGGCATAGGAATCAAAGCACTTGCTCTTCTGGCTATAATCTTATTTTATTTTATTTTTTTTTGAGACAGAGTCTTGCTTAGTTGCCCCAGCTGGAGGGCAGTGGTGTCATCATAGCTCACTGCAACCTCGAACTCCTGGGCTCAAGGGATCCTCCCACCTCAGTCTTCTGAGTAGCTGGAACTACAGGCCCCTACCATGATGCCAGCTAACTTTTCTATTTTTAGTAGAGATGGGGTCTCACTCTTGCTCAGGCTGGTCTCGAACTCCTGAGTTCAAGCGATCCTCCCGCCTCGGCCTCCCAGAGTGCTAGGACTACAGGCGTGAGCCACCACGCTCTGCCTATAATCTTATGTTTGAAAAACTTTCAACTATTTTTTAGAAGAGTTTTTTTTGCCCACATACCTTATCAGTGTCTATTCCAGACATAAACTCCTGTTCCACTGTTAATTTGTCAAAGAAGTCTTCAGAAGCTGAAAGGTAACGGGCAAATGTGCAAGTTAGAAATTAAACGTTAATTTATTTGAATGGTGGTGTGTTTTTATACACAAAGTAC